TACTTATTTATTTATATTGATTTCAGAGAGGAAGGAAGAGGGAGAGAGAGACAAAAACATCAATGATGAGGAAGAATCATTGATTGGCTGCCTCCTGCACAACACTTATTAGGGATTGAGCCCACAACCCTGGCATGTGCCCTTAACTGGAATCAAACCTGGAACCCTTCAGTCCACAGGCCAACATTATAGCCACTGAGCCAAACCAACTAGGGCTGCCAACATATTTTAATTAGCCTTTATCAGATTTACCTTGCCTCTGATTATCAACTACAAAATAACAATAATTAGTACCAGCCCTGTAAAAGGATGAATGAAAATATGCCATACATGTTGACAAAACAGACCGGAATATCATTCTTCTTGCCCTAGGAATATCAAAAGCTAAAATTTACCATTCTCCTAAAATATAAAACCAATTAGTACATCAAAAACTACCTTAAAACTAAAACAAAAAAGACACACAGGATAAGCAGGAGCCCCACAGCAATCTTATTTGTTTTCCATAGAGCTCCAAATGTTAGTTTGATTCCAGACTGCCCATTTCTTGTTTTTGCAAGGTCTGAAAAGTCAATTATTCTAAACGTAATCTGCAGCCTTAAAAATTGGTCCTTTGCCAAGTAATTTCAAGAGCTTCCCGAAGGAAAACTAATAATTTCACTGTTTTCTTCTGGTTGATATTACAGAAGTAAATTGTATATACAATTAATTCATCCCTGATGTTTGCTATCAAATCAAAGAGTTTAGAATTGGGGGATTCCCATTGAAATGGTTGACTCCTCCAGCTTCTCCTGACAACCGGCCTGCATTCTTCTGAATGCTGATTAGAGATTAAGTTGGTATGTGAGTGGTTTCACTTGCTAATGTCCACATAGGTAGCTCATATCCTAATCTGAGACAGTAACTGCTGTATCAGTATGCACATGCTTCTAAAATAGACTGGGAAATTCTCAAATGCCATGAAAAATATGTATTGCCACATATTCCATTTTAAAGGTTAGCCATTTTAAAACATTTTTTGTTAGTGTTTTCAGTTCACACGTTTATAAACATTGTCCTAATATAGTACCTTGTACTTTGCTGAACTTGATAAATCTTGGTTGAATGAATTGATACATACATTCTTTAATATTCTCTTCAGGGCAGAATATCCCCAAATACTTTTATTTTACCAAGAGTAGAAGTAAAACATGGACCCACAAAGGAATTGGGTTCCTCATCATTACTGGCATTGGATAGGGCTTACTTATCTAATTCTAAGTTTTCATCCACCTCTGAGATTCTGTAAGTTAGATATCCATTGGAGAGGAAGTAAAAAACCTCCGAAAGAATTCCCTCAATCTCTATGAAGGAGTGACAGTTACCTAGTGAATCTATAAAGTGGCCACTGAAAACTAAGGTCAGCTAAGATGAAAGTGCAACACACAGAGTGAGCTCAAGTACATTGGAATTTGTTCCCATGCTTGGATTCATTCATTGATGGAGTTTTTGTAAGTACCTGCCAAGAACTGAGTCAAGAGCAGCTAGAGCCATGACCTGTCCCTGAAACAGGTATCTTTGGCTCATCTGCCTGTTGCTCTTATTTCTATGTTTACTAGTCATTCAATAATTCTGAGCTCCTGATGCGCCAAGCACTATGCTAAGCATTAAAGGTATAGCATTGTAGAAATGACACAATTCCACTCATGGAGCATACATAAATAAATGTACAATATCAAACTACTTGAACCTTCTAGAAAAAAAGAGAAAGAATACAATAGGGAACCAAATTTTCTCTTTCAGGGGTCTTCTCCAAGGAAATGCAATTTAAGCTTAGATCTAAGATGACCAGAAGTCAACCAGGCAAGGTGTAAGAAGAGCTTTCCAGTTTGAGGAAGGAGCATGTGGTAAGCACTGGAGACAGGAAGAGATTGAATGCATCTTGTGAATGCAAGCAACGTGGTCAGCAGAGGGAAGATGTTTGAGAGGCAGGCAGGGGTGAAATCATGCATAGCTTGGATGCTCTGTTAATGAGTTTGCATTTGTATTAATGCAAAGAGAGCACTAATTCTGATCTGTACTTTTACAGATCACTGGCTGCACCGAGAATAAACCAGGAGGACAATAATAAAAGTGGTGAGACCAACGAGGAGCTATTGTAGATGGGAGATGATGAAGGCTCAGATTAAAGTGGAACTGGAAGTAGAGAAGAATAAATAGATTTGAGGTACCTTTTGAAAGCAGAATCAATAAGACTAGAAGGTAGGTTGAATGATGGATGTGATCAGAAACAAGGTCTTAGGTATAATTCTCAAGTATTTGGCTTGGGAAATAGGGTAAATGTATGTGCCCTTTATTGAGATGAAGAAGCTTGAAAGGAGAACAAAATAGGGTGAAATCAAAAATTTTAGTATCAGTGTACTAGTGGCAATAAAACTAAAATGTGTGTGTGAGAGAAAGGATTTTTTAAAATGAAGAATAAAATACAAAAAGGGGTAAGGAAAAGGGGGAAAAAGAAGATGACAATTTAAATAAATATAAAATAAAATTCCCAGAGGGATGATGGAGGGTAGGGGTTGGAGACTGATGCATATCAGGATAGCAGTGGATGTACAATTTGAAAAAGGGCATACTCAACATTATACTGTATTTTTTTAATTTTGGGGGAAAATAAAGTGTTCTTGATAATATAGATTACAGAAATTAAATTAGAAAGATTCATAGATTCATGTCTGGTGGGTCTACACAAAAGGTAGACTGTATCATCTGCTTATTGGCTTTGGTTAGTTTTTACAGAGGGATGCATCAAGATCTCCAGTGGAATGCAAGTAATGTAATTTTTATGTTAATCAGAAAAGAGCACAAGCAATATATATATATATATATATATATTTATTTATTTATTTTTTCATTGACACTGATCCAGAAGAAGGGAAATGAGAAAACATGGTAAAAATATTGGAGAGAAAAAGAGAAATGGGTGGAGAATTTTTCCAGCAAGCAAGGACATCTCTGCCCTCATGTCTGTGCCAATGCAGGTGCTAATGGTCACCTGGATTTGAATCCCAGCCGGGCCACTTGTCAGTGGGTGATCTTGGGCATGTCAGGCAACTGCTCCAGGCTCGGTTTTCTTAGTTTTAAAAACTGATAATGATAGCACCTATCTCATACAGTGATTGTCAAGGTTAAAAGGAATAACTCATAAGAAATGCTTAAAATGCCTGGCACAGAGGAAGGGCTCAAAAAGTGTCAGCTGCCTTTCTGCAGCTGACTATGGATGCATAATTGTTAGAAAGTGGTTGTAGGTGTGTGTACCTCTTCACTTCCCTAAAGCTATAGTGACTTTGCTCTCTTAGGTTCAAACTGTATAGCTCACTGTATCAAAAATAGTTTTTGATTTGTTAAAAATATAGGAGGATATAATTAATATTTATAAGGCATTCTAAAATATTATTAGGATTTAATTTTTGCAAATTAATGAAAATGCCCCATCTAATTACAAAGCCAGAAATATGTCTTCTCATTTATTCCCCAAAATGTTAGCTATAATTTAAAACTTGCTATTTAACTCCCTAGGGAGGTCAGTAATTAACTTCTAAACTTATTCTTTAAAAATTCCAAAAATTAGAGATAATGTTCTAAAACCCTCTTGATATATTCATCATCACTTTGAGTCATTTTAAAAACCTATACTTTCTCTGCCCTAATGATATTATGAAGACATATGAAAATATTCCACCTGAAAACATACCTATGTCAGCATCCCCTTACATCTAGGAACATCACAAGTGAGACCTCTCAATTGAAACTGAATTGGGACTACTTTACGGAACACTGCACTCTCTTTTTCTTCCTGACTCTCTTTTCTCTTTGGTTCTTATGTACAAATGAAGTTTTATTATTTATCATACATATTCTTTAGAATATTAATGCAAACATTACATCCAACCTTTAGACTCAGAACACTTTGTTTACAAAATTGTGGAAAGAGTCAAAATATTCTAAGGTCAAATCTGGAATCTACACGTATTAGCAATATCATACTGGTGGCAATGCGTTGACTACTTTAAATTTTGTTATTATTATTTTTATATAAAATGGGAATAACTAAATAAGAGAACATATATAATTGCCTTGCTTGACAACATACTAACAATATATTATTGCCCTGGCTGGTTTGGCTTAGTGGCTAGAGTATTGGTTTGCAGACTTAAAGATCCTGGGTTTGATTCTGGTCAAGAGCATGTACCTCAATTATAGGCTTGATTCCCGACTCTGGTCGGGGTACCTGCAGAAGGCAAGCATTGGATGTGTCTCTCTCACACTAATGTTTCTCTCTGTATCTCTCCTTTTCCCTTCTACTCTCTTTAAAAATCAATGGAAATATATCCTTGTCTGAGGATTAACAAAAAAAAACAAAACAAAACAAACAAACAAAAAGAATGGTGAGGATTAACAGAAAAATTAAAAGAATGTGTTTTTTTTTGTGTGGTCAGATAGAAGTGTTAATTATGTAGTTTTGAACAAGTTGTTTAATACCTCAAGAAGCAGTTAAGTGATGGCATTAATTTAATATGTTAGTTAAAATATTAAATGGTGATAATAGCATCTACTTCTTAGGCTATGTTGTGCCTGGAGCACAATAAGTGTTTACTAAATATTATCTAAAAATATAACTCAATAAATATTCTATTTTGTCCTCAGATTGAGGGAAATAGTGTTACTTAAATTTCAAAATTAATTCTTCTAGAAAAATATAATCAATGCCTCATTAAAAATGCATGGGAACCAAGAACATTGGAGCATCATGTGATCATGTCTGAATGCTCTATGAACACACCAGGAAAAACCACAAGGCAATGTTCTTAATTTCTCCCATTGCGCCAAAGGAGCAGCACATCTCTCCGCCTCAAGGAGGATGTCCAGTGCAAGAGAAGTGAGCAGAGGCAGGCTCTGCCCCTTCTTTCCTGGTGGAAGCACATGCAATTCGAGAAGATGAAGTGAGGAAGCGCATGCAGTACCTGGTCATCTCAGAGTCAGGGAGCAGGCCTAGGTGGTAGTGGGGGTAGGGAGATGATAGAAGGAAGCTTTTGTCACACTCAACAGGGGAATAGTGCCTGGGAGAAGGAGGCTTATCACACAGTTTGTTCACAGTGCTGTAAACGGGTTCCGGAGGCCTGGTGACACAAGAGGAAGAGAAAGAGTTGCATGGTTAGCACACATACTGAACAACTGTGCACCTGGTAGCATTTCATCATATGCAGAAGTAAAAATCCAGAACAATGTTATGGGCTCCAGTAGGCCTGAGTTAAGAGTCTTTTAAGAAAACCGGATGTCTGGTTAGAAAATGGAACTTCGGCTCACATGTGGCATGACTAACATTTACATGCCAGATACCTCAGTAGTGTCAAAATCAACCTGCAAATGCCATGCCTTTTTGGATTATCCAGGCTGAAATGCCACACCTTGGGATTTTCTGACATGGCTCCTATTTATTTATTTATTTATTTATTTACTTATTTATTTATTTATTCTCTTTATTGTTGAAAGTATCTCATAGACATGGCTCCATTGTAAACTTTAGTCTCATCTTTATTTAATTATTCTCTTTATTGTTGAAAGTATGTCATAGACATGGCTCCACTGTAAACTTTAGTCTCGTCTTAAATGTGTACTTCATAGAGATGTTCGCTCCTTGATCATTGTGGTAAAAACATCCTGTTATTTTTGTGGCACATATTTCACTTCATAATATTTTTTTCTCAGCATGCAATAATCTTTCTTGTTGGTTTGTTTTGTTTAAATTATTAATGCCATTGTCACTACACCATGGATTTTATGAGGACAGAGACTTCATTTGTTTTGTTAGTCTGGGACACAGCACACCTTGCATAAATATTTATTGAATGCCTACATAAATATATGCATACAACTTTTCACATGCCTTGCACATATTTTTGGGGTGGTTGTTGGTCCTACCTAGGAATCTAATAGCTTTTATGATCTGGGTGTTTCCTCTAAATATTTACTTATAGATTACTCCCCCTCCCCAACAATTGATTTCAGAGAGTTTTCTATACATAGAATACTCATTTTAGTAAAATGTCTTATTAAATAAATTAATCTAGGAATACTGAAACATGATCTAAAACAGCAACATTTTAATAGTTATTATTTATAATCATATATGGTATAATCAGACAACTTTTACCTATAGTATTTGGTCAGAGATCCATGTACTATAAATAAAAATATCCCATAGCTTTATCCCACACTTTTAACATACTGGAAACTGCTGCTAATATTCTTTAAGGTTAAGAATTGAAAGATATAAATTTAAGAGCAAGAGCTATCTAGCAGACTGGGCCACAGATGCAGGAAGAGTAAGTTTGACTGGAAAGGTAAGGAGCAGGTCAGGACACAGGGCCAAGAGCACCCGTTGGCCCACAAGATGCCAGAGGCAGCAAGTAGTGGCCAAGTGCCTGAGAAAGTACAGGAAATGTATGTGGCAAGCTCGTGAGGGCACAGTCCATGTTTCTGTAGCTCCAGCCCCCAACATGGCCCCTGATGTATACTAGGTACTCAACCAATGCTTCCTGAACCGATTGAGGAGGGAGGTCAGGGAGGAAATATTGATAGAATAAGCAAAGTATTAAAGGTGATCTTTACCTCATTTGTAATATTACTAGAGGTCCGATGCACGAAAATTGTGCAATGGGCTTAGCCCTCGCAGCCCCAGCTTCTCCAGAAGGTCATCCACAAGGACATCTGGAAGACTGTTTGGTTGTCTGGTCTAATTAGCATAATATACTCTTAATATTATCGATTGCAAGCCAGTCATGGCAGACACACTGTCTAGAGAACTGTATTCTTCCCTATCACAGAACTTTCCACCACACAGAAAGAGATGTCTTGACATGTTTATACCATAGTGGGGCTGATAATGAACAGGAGGCAGTCAGAGGCCTATTTTGTCCTCCAGAATAATCCTCTTAGTAGTAAAATAAGGTACTTTACAATACAGTTGGCTTGTTCTAGCCCAGTGTCCAATACGGTTTTTAAGGCTCCTTCAATGAGATAACCAAAATTGTTCTTACTTTAGGAAAGTTGGCATATATTGAGTTAAGATAACTATGCCACTTTCAGGTAAACCTAGCATGTTTGTAAATTTCTGTATCAGTTACTAAAATATATCTGTCAAAACAGATTAGATAGTATTTTTTATTTTTATTTTGGGAGAGTCTGTTTTGATGTGTTGATATGTGCATCTTTACGTACGAAGATATGCACACATTTCTCATGGTCTTGGAGACAGAAAGACCCACATACTGATCAGATAAAGAAAGTCACCTTCGGAGATGACAGTCTTTTCTGAAACTAAAATATGCATGTCTACACAAAAATGCAGCTTGATAGGGCTTTGTATTAATAAGCTGCATAAATATTAATCAGATAAAAATGAGGGGCATGTGCGAGCTCTATGGGAATTACTCTGGGTAGGTTATCACAAGAGGATCTGATACCATTCTCCAGTTTGTCCACTCTGAGATACAGCTGCTGTGGTAGAAATGGCTGGATTGTCTTCTAAACATCCATGAACTCTTCTTTTCTTAATAATAGAAACCCAAGTTTCCACTTGTCACTTTTTCTACAGTAAAGACTTTGTTTCTCGCCTCCTCTGTAGATAGATGTGGCCTATGAAGATATTCAGCCCACTGTGATTTGAGCAGAAGGATTTTGTGAGATTCCTGAGCTGACTGCTTAAAGAGACCACTGCAGTTTTGTTCTCTCCTACTTGTTCCCTCTGCTGACCTGAAATCTATATGTAATGGCTGGAGCTTCAGTGGTCATCTTGGACCATGAAGCAACCTTGAGGATGCAGGCAAAGAATATCACTGGTGAAGCATAATGTCAGAACCTGTGCTCCACAAAGCTTGTAATCTAATACGAAGAAGTAACTATAGCCCTAGCTGGCTTGGCTCAGTAGACAGAGTGTCCACCTGCGGACTGAAGAGTCCTGGGTTAGATTACTATTAGGGGCACATGCCTGGGTTGTAGGCTTGATCCCCAGTAGTGGGCATGCAGAAGGCAACTGATGGGTGATTCTCTCATTATTGATGTTTCTATAATATCTCTCTCTCCCTCTCTCATATCAATAAAAATATATATTTTAAAAAGAAATAACTATATATAGGGATTTTGATAAGGTGACAATACATTTAATTGTGTCAGAGATTCATCTAACACCTCTGTATACACAGAAAAAATATAAAGAATATTTTTTTCTGACTATAAATTTTAAGTTTATGACTGTTTAGAGAACTCACTGTATCTTTATTTAAAAGCATTAGATATATAAAATGGTAGCTGATCTAAACTGCCAGAACAAGGCCTAAGAATAAAGGAACTGATGATTTCTTTTAAGCCATAAAACATTTTCAAGATGATGTCATTTCAATAACATTGTACTTTCTGCCTAGGAGGGCTGATTCAATTTTCTTAGTCTGATGTTGACTCGACAGACCAAGAAAATTATGTTAGCAATTTTCCCCTAGTCCTTTTACCTCAGTAGCAGTATATTTTGAGACAAATTATCAGAATCAAAGCTAGCTAATACATATCTTAGGGGGGGAAAATCGCCACTTGTATTGTACTCAACTAAATCAAGGGAAAATCAGCTTCTCTGTAAACACTACAATAAATTCAAGATAATAAAAATGAAGCCCTATACATTGCACACTGTTGAACTTTTAAGACTTTTACCTATGTCTTTGGAACCATTTTATGGGTATAATATTATTTTATGACTCCTGAGTTTAGTAGACTTGTTATTTGGAGGAAGCTTAAATACATTAGATTTTAGAAAGAGGCCCTTTTTTTTCTTTGCCTACAGTTACTTCCAGAATTGTTTTATAGTGAATTGATTTCTTGCCTAAGCATCAGTACTCATGATTCATTGCCTTATCAATGCAGAGATATAGCTACTGATATTACAGGCTCATTTTTATATTTTATTCCTTCCCTTTTTATTTACTTTTTTTTTTTTATACAGTCACTGGCTAAAGAGTAGATATATCAAATCCAGTTTCTTTTTTTTGTTTTTGAGAGATCAATTGATATCTCAGAAGATGGGTAGATTCAAATAAACATTAAAATAACTGCTCAACAAATTTGACTAAACCTTTTTGCAATAATGACAATGTTCTCTTGCAACCAAATAACTAAATTGAAAACATCAGTGACAATAATTAAAACAGCCTGATAGTGGTAGAAAAACCAACAAACAGACCAATGGAACAGAAATGATAGCCCAGAAATAAACTCATATATATGTGAGCAATTACTTTTTGATGAAGGAACCAAAAACATACAATAAAAAGGAGAACTTTTTCAATAAATGGTGCTAGAAAAGTTAGAAAGCCACATATAAAAGAAGGAAACTAGACTGTTTATTACCATACACAAAAATTAACTCAAAATGGATCAAAGTCCTAAATATAAGACCTGAAACTATAAAATACATAAAAGAAAACATTGGTACTAAACTTATGGACCTTGACCTTAGAGAGAATTTTATAAATTCAACCTCAAAAGCAAAGGATATAAAAGCAAAAATAAATGAATGGGACTATATCAAACTAAAAAGCTTCTGCACAACAAAGAAACCATCCACAAAAAAGGCAACCAATCTAATTGGAGAAGTTATTTGTAAACAACACTTACAAGAAGGAGTTAATATTCAAAGTATATAAAGAACCTATACAATTCAACAACAAAAAACATACAATGCAATTAAAAATATTGGCTGAGGGCCTAAACATACATTTCTCCCAAAAAGACATACAAATGACCAACAGATATTTAAAAAGATGCCCAACTTCACTAGCTATTAGGGAAATGCAAATCAAAGCCACAGTGAGATACCACCTCACACCAGTTCGAAGGGCTGTTATCAACAAGATAATAGCAAATGTTGGAGAGGTTGTAGTGAAAACTCTCACACACTGCTGGTGAAAATATGAATTGGTGCAGCCACTACAGAAAACAGTTGGAGGTTCCTCAAAAATGAAGCATAGAATAACCATATGAACCAGCAATCCCTCTACCTGAAAAATGTGAAAACATTTATTTATAAAGATATCTGTATCCCTTATGTACATCGCAGCATTATTTACAA